ATTTTTACATTAAATACATAGTTTTTACCACCTTAATAGACGCCATCTTGGAATTTATCATGATGACGTCATCATTCCGATCAAATTTTTAAATAAGAGTGATGAGTAACTATTTAGCCAAGTTGTTGTTACATTTCATATCCACAGTATATGTAAAAGTGACCAAAAACATAAATTTATTTCCCCTACCCTTATCTTAAATAGTTTAAAATAGGGTATTTTAGGTCAAAATTTCAAAGTGCTGTAAAAAAAATTGCCCAAGCCCTAGGCATGGACACTATAGGGTATGCTGATTCAGAAAAACCAAAAATTAATTTTCCTTTACTTTTTTCCCGCTAAAGTTCATTTCAACAGTTTTACAACCAGACTATTAGAACTTTTGACCAGAGTAACCATGGTTATACCATGTAATACAAATAGAGCGGCTGTATTGCTATGATTTGAGAATCGCATTATTTCGGGTTTTCTTCATGAAGGTCTACGAGAGGAATACAGTAATAATATGTTTAAAGTACTTTAGGTATTTTTCTTTGAGTTTCATCGATACATATGGCATAATTCAAATAAATATTATCATTATTATTACTTATTAATATAAGAGAAACACTGCTATTTTCAACATTATTTGATAATGCTTTGTATTTGTCATTAGGTTAATTGATATTTCGACATTCAGCTGTCATCTGAGTAGAGTATACCGAGTTGAGTTGAGCTGTAATTTGAATCTTGGATGTCAAAAAGTGTGAGTTTAAGTACTGATTATATGAGTTAAAAGTATTGAGAATTAATTAGTTATAATTACGCTAATCTATATTATCGCGTTAAAAAGTTTGAGCCTCTTGAGTTATGTAGTTTCTTGTACAGTATTTTGTATTCGATAGGTTCGAACGACTTGTTGGGACACAATAAACTTTCAGATCAAACATAACAGCTTTTGAGTTTTTGTCAGCTTGAATACCGAAACACTCGTAACTTTGCACTAAAACATAAAAAGGGGCCGACATGCCCGACAAAGGAGTCCGAACCAAGGGGCGTTATTTAGATAGCCAAATTATTATTTTTCGTTCGACGACCTCGTCGTGGCGTCGGGGGATAATGCCCTCCCTGCCTTTCCACTGGCGTCACCATTGCATCACACTCAAATCCAACACGTGTTCAGCTTATATTTTTATTCTCTGTTAAATTAGGACTTGATGGATTTGGGGCGCGAAATGTGAGCTGTGTGGCCGCTCCCACCATCAAGATTTCTGTGGTGGGGGAGTGCTCCTATCTCCACCTGAATACGCCAATACATCACTCAATCCCTTCTCTCGGACCAGGTCATGGATTAGTACTCTGTCCTCCACCAGGCGGAGAGATACTAAATCCCCCACCCCATCTCTTTGTGTATAAATGGTGCTGTGGCATAGATAGATAGTCTGTCGTAGAAATTTTCATTGGTAGGCCTAATTGTGATTCTCGGTTCTATCAGCAGTCTAGTACAGTATTATAATAGATGTAACATTCGACTTTTAAATAATCAAAAAAGAATTACTTGACGTCATAGGGTTGGGGTAGGGTGTGCGCTCCCGAGCAATTAGATTGTGTAATACTATAAAATATTATTTAAAGCCAGCCGATACATACCTTGGCCAATCGATAGCTCATTTGCGAAGCCAGCATGAATGTAGGCAACGCTAACAAGGAAGCAGGAAACAAGTTCTAGAACACGTACATTTCTCATTTCTCTGGTGTACAAAAGCCTACACAATGTATATTAAAATACACCTACTGTCGGGCTAGCGTATAGTGCTGCCTGGTTTACCACTGTTGTCATAGAGTAATTGTATTATAGGTCGATACAGGCCTACAATCGGAAACCGACCAATATAGTCAGACCGTAAACTGACTGAACTGTAGGTCAATAAGTACTGTTCTAAATTAACAGGACTGGAAAGTCCACAGAATTTTTGAGACGTTTGATGAAACAAAAACAGGATACATTGAAGACGGATATTAGCATCTTTGTGTGCAAGGGCGTCGATCCGTGGTTGAAAGTGGGGGTAGGGGGTGACGAATTGCAAAATAAGGAAGTTTTGGCCCGCAGACCCAAGGCTTGGCTGGGGGTTGGGCCGCTTAGGACCCCCGCTGAGAGTCCAGGGGAAGCCCCGGAAGCTCTCTGGCGTCTATAGCCTTATAAGTCGTATCTAATTGATTTTAAGGAATGCAATCAACCTTTATTTCCACGCTACACTTTCAAAATACAGTGACGGATCCTGGCGATTTAGAGGGGGGGGGGCAGGGAGGAACTTTCACAGATGGAGTGTGAACCACCTCAGCCCCACCATGATTATGGCACCTCTAGTTGGCCGGAAATAGCACTCTCAGACTTCAATTTGAATATAATTTTCTTTTTTCTCCACTTTCAAATTTTGGGGGAAAAAAATTGGAGTGTGGGACTGATAGGCCATCTTGAATCTGCCACTGAAATACTCACCATAACAAGTTTTTCAATTTATCCTTGTAATCATAATCATGCCCACTTTTATATTTCGTGCAAACTAACATTCATAAAAAATAATGATTTATTATCTACTGATTAGTTTTGACGTACCGGTATTTAAACCATGAAAACAAATAAGATGAACCTTGAACAGTTACTCGAATTTAGTCTCTTTGCATGTACAGTACTTTCACAATCAACCAAGGTTTTTCATTTTCTACTATTTTTGAATTCCACTTTTGTACAAGTAGTATTGCGACTACACTATTGTGAGTGGAAACACACCGCCTAGGGAGTTATGCACACAAAACATTAGTTAGCATTTTTATTTCACAAACATAAAGGTGATTTATTAATTTATCATGGCGCGAGATTGCGTCAACGTAATATCGAATTTCGTAAACGTGCGTTATCACTACCGAATAGATAAATCCGAATCGGCCTATCAGTGTCAAAGGCTGCAGGATTTCCAAACATTGCGAGACAATATCAGGGTGGACTCACTTTATGCGTAAATTCAAATAATGTGGACCCATTTTCTTAAAAGTTGACCCATTTTACGCAAAATATGAAAAATCTGGAATCATTTTCTAAAAAATTTACCCATTTTAGGCTAAATATGAGAAATCTGGACTCATTTTGCATAAAATTGCATAATTTGGACCCATTTTTAAAATTTGGACCCATTCTTTGTGGACCCATTAGAAAAATTGTGTGGAACTGTCCCAACTTAGTTGGCTACGGCATTGGTTTACTAAAATAACGGCTATATAAAATTCAATTGACTAAGTATATATTTTTGAAATTAGGAAAAACAGGAATTTATGTATGCAGATAATATTAACACTAGCATATACTAAATCGCTTATAGTATAAATTGTGCTTTTGAGTGTTAGAATGTTGGCCTAATAGTTTACACGCTTCCAATTTTAACAGCGTACAGTACATAGTTTCACAATAAATTTAGGCTCTGATAACCGTTGCACCCCGGTGGCCAATCCATAAATTTGAAATAGAGGGGGACCAAAGAGGGACTTTTGCAGATGGAGGGTCTAAACTGCCTCATCCCAACCATGGTTTGGGCTGAGGTAAGAACATTAATGACTATGGCACCAGATGGCCGGAAATGGCACTCTTATATACACTCAAACTTAGAGTAGATTTGTCTTTTTCATTCAATATACTGTACCCATAAAATCGATGGATGGTTACGGAGATATACGAAATGTACAAACAAGTGCGTTTTTACTCGGTCTTGGTCTGAAAAATTATGCACCGCACTTCGAACAGAACACAAGTGAACAAACAATTCATGACAGTCATATTCGTAATTATTGTTCTTTCCACTCGCTTTGAAAAGTGGGTTTTAACTATGGAAGATTGGTGAAAAGTGGTGGGGGGGGGGGAGAAATTAATATGATGTCCCCCTCCCCTACTTTGGAAAGTGGGGTAACGTGTTGCCCCCCTGTCCCCTCCCCCGATCGACGCCCATGCATGTGTGGGATTTCCCGCAGTTCAGAACATGCAATAGTGGATAGAAATTGACGCAAAAGATATAATTGAGTACAATGCCTTAACGAAACTTACTCGTATGATGATGATATGGATTTCAGGTTTAACAAATTTGTTTTTAAAACTCCTCCCCTAGAAGGTCAGGGTATGTACCCCCTGTTATTTTCCCCTAGATGCGTCCTCTGCAAATTTAGAACAGTATTTGTACAACTAACAATTTGTTACAAACTTGCAGTTTTTCTTGACACTCAACACATTTTCATAAAATACTCTATAAAACATCAGCCAAATCAATACGAACATGATAATCAACAGAGTATAGTTAGGCTATAGGCCTATATTAAACGTAGACCTACATAGTGGATGACAATAATAAGCTAAAGATATGAAAATGATAAATTCTGAACGTCAATAAAGAATTCATTTTGAAAAGTATCTTTTGGGCCTCCCGTCTTGTCGGTAAAATGCTTAAAATTGAGAGCGTATCAGACTTGCCACAAGTCTCTTATTTGATTTTTCGTAGTATGTATTAGCAAATTTCGGAGAGCGCCACCATCAGTTATGTCGAGAAACTTTTTGATGCGAATTAGAGACTTGTGAAAGAGTAGCCTAGTCAAATCGATTGCAGACCGTTGGCCGTGACAAGCATGACGCAATTTTTAGGATGCCGTATTTGGCAATGGGGTGACAATTAGTGTCCATCTATACTATCTCTCCGCCAAATATCATGTAATTTTTTCAGCAAGTCAATAATCCAATCAATCCTGGAACTGTGGATGTTGGCATAATTTGATCAGCGGAGTCTGTCTACACTATAAAATAGAGCCTATCATAAAAAAAGCGTCACATAAAATGTGATGGAAGAGTTCAACATTTTTTGATACAGTTTGATAGTATGTGATATGCCGTTACATGGGCACATCACATTTTTTGTCACATAAAATTTGATAGTGGAGACAAAGCTTTTAGGTCAATATCAAAATGAGGATATTTCTCTTGGACAGACGAGAGCTCCCTGGACAGACAGATTTCCACTTTCATCTTCCTACATTTGTCTAGGCCTAGTCCTACTTCTTTTCCGACAATTTGCACCTTTAACACATAGGCCTACTCATCGGAGTTTTCAAGAAAACCTGCAATGATCATGCTATCCTGCTAATTTCAATCGGCCGATGGACAACCAGCTAACCACCATCACCACCACCACTACTAATTTTATCTGCTATTCTGCTGTTATGTAAAAACTCGCAACATTCTTGTCATGACGAGCCATGCTCTCTGGACGATTATCTTTTCCGCCGCACCATTTCGTAATTTGCAACCGTAACAATGAGAAGAGCGATGGTAATAATAAAAATAATGATAATTACATTGAATTTATCTCATGATCTTATTGGGAATTTTTAATCCTCAGAGCAGCTGAGGAGTCGAAGCCTACCAAACCAATCAGAAAATTTGGTCAGTACAGCAACGAATGATTCCTCCTTGGTAAGAATGGACCATGCAGCTTTCAGCGCATCAGAAATTATGCCATTTTAACGCACGATTATATTTTAACCATTCTCTAATACTTTTTTTTCAGTTAATAGGTAATTTTTGTAGAATTGAAGTACAAGATCAAGTGTCCACAGTAAATAGAATTTACTATTTGTGATGATGACATAATTAATGTAGAATAATTGAATCCCGACACGATGGCGTGCATTTCGATACTTGGAGTATGTATTATACGGTCTTATAATTTTGTTGTTCATTTTGTTCCAAACTTACCAAACTTTAGTCAGCGATGTGGTAACAAACAAGTTACTACAGAAAACAACAACATGAATAAGACATGGGCAAAAACAAGCCTCCTGAGTTTCCCTCCTTCAGGGAGGCTAACAATTGAATACCATGCTTTGGAGACTACTTCAATGCTTGTGTATTCTTATATAAATGTTGTTTCCTTTATAATATCATTTTTTAAAATTATATATGCCATAAATAAGATTATCGGTATATACATTATATGTATGCCTCCGTTTTCGGCAATTTCTGTTGCATGACCAATCTCGGTGGCATGACCAATCGTGGTGGTATGATCAGCACTGCTTTTTCCAATTACATTATGACTGTGACAAACTTGTTAAATTCTGAAATGCAAGCAAAGTCTTCCTGACTTCCTTCTCCCCCTTTATGAAATCTTGGAAAAGAACACAGATTATTGGGTTGTTTTTGTCAGTGTATTTTTAATATCAACTCCAACTACTCCATTAAAATAAAAAGGATTACAAAAAAAAAAATCAATTAGTTCTTCATAATAAATTTAATATATTTAGTTTTCACTGCAAGAGAAAATGTTTCAAAGTCACTGTAATAGAATTCCAAGAGGTAGCATCATGTGGGAATCTTATCAGCAGCATTTGGATCTGGACCTAGAAGTTCTTCATCAACTGATATTGCTTTTTTAAGATCCTCTGGCAGATGTGAAATGTTCCCTTTGTATGGCAACCACTTAATACGTCCCTTTTGCAGCAATTGGGAACTATCTAATGTCTCCAGATACTGAACCTTAAATTAAAACAAGAGTTGCAAAATGCTGTAATAATGATGCTACTAAACAATAAAATATTTGACTATTACTGCAAAATGTAAAGACAATGTCCCATAGAACCAAATTAATGAAAGACACTAACACCCCTAATTAATGTACTTTTAGTTGTTTCTATGCCTTGATAAAATTGCATTTATTTGTTCTGTTTTTAATTTGATGTACAACAATATTTTCAGTTGATATTATGTTTCAATGTAACTTTTATGTTCCTGTATATTTGCTTAGTTTTGTATGGCTCAAACCCCTCCTTGAGGGAGTTTCCTCTGTTATAAAGGAGTGAACCAGTAAATAAATAAAATAATAACACAAAAACAATAAATAGAACTATTAGCAAAAGTAATTTTTGTAAAATTACTGACATTTTACATGGCAAAGACAAAGATAACACATTGGTAAATACACACAATGTGCAGCCACATGTACAATATATATGTGTGTATGTTTACTGTACATAGGTGTATTTAGAATACTGTATTTTCTAATGCATCTAACTTACCTGGATTCTTACATATTCCACCATATCGGCTAACACTTCAGGGTCATCACATCTCTGAAGGAATAGATTCCGCCAGAGCGCACCGGCAAGAACATGATCATCAGACAAAATACCCTATCAAAGAAAAAAAAAGAAGATAATAGTTTTACAGCACACTGACAATTCCTGTTCATTTATTCCTGCCGGAATTAGATTTTATATTTTTTACTTTGACTCTGCCAGTGCAAACATAATGTTCATTTTTTCCAATGCAGAATCATTTCATACACAATAGAAACAGAGTCTTTTACTGCACCGAGCACTGCTCAATAGTAACGGATTAAAAACACATATTAGAGAAGAACTAAACCATCTTTCACACCAGATTTACAGAGCAAATGCCAATCTAAAACCACATGCCACAAACTTAACATTCTGTTACACTTCCACTGCATGCTAATGTAAGACTTCTTTTATATCTTGTTTACCGAACCTACTGCCTGTTAATAATGGTGATTTAGAATACGTAAAAATTAAATTTTATTTATCTCCAAAAATAAGATATATATATATATTTCTTCCTAATTATATAAATTTAAAGCATGTAACCATCCCATTACTACACTGTTTACATTCACCAATAAAATTTTATTTTTATTTTTTTCTCCCCTGGATGTGTTTGGCAAAACTATTTGCTAAATGAAAAACCAAAATTTTATTTTTTTCCCGCCCTTATCTGACGATCTATAAAAAAATAAGTTCGCGAAACAAGGTATAAAAAGTCTTGCCTAATGAATGAGAATTAACTTCCTTCTGTATATTTCTCAATGGGTTCAGCCCTCTTCATTATGGTTTCAAAATCAGCTGTTTACATGGGCTTACACACGGTTTCTATATTGAGTTTAACATACCTCATCATAAGCTAACAAAACTCCATGAAATTGTTCTACCATCTTTGATGTTGCTTCTCTTATTTTCGATGAAGGAATCTAAAATAAAGTATACAATGGTGATTACAATCACTGTATGTCTGATTTTAATTGATCCTTGTAATGCTGGTTTTATTTATGGCATTGTTTCAAAACTATAAAATATTATTTGTTTTTTTACTATATTGCGTTTTTTGTACATAAAAGTGCACATTTTACTCATATAAACCGATCTATTTACAGTGATTATTAGCACTCTACAAACGCTATAGCTGGGGGCTTCTGGTGGTAGATTCTTATGCATTTCCTACAAAATAAATATTGGATTTACTGTAGGTTACAGAGTGTTGTTTCCATCATAATCTACTCTAATACTTTGCACTACTGTACATAGACACGACACATAAGCGAGACCCCAAAGGTTCCCAGCAATGGCGGCACCAATAGAGAGCATCACTGTCTCACTTCCAATTTTGACTGTAACCTATTAACTTACATCCATTACACGTGCTCTTTCTGTGACATCAGTCCACATGGAAAGTATAAGGTAATGGGTCATGTACTTTCCTTCACGACCTTCGTGCCTCAATCTCAACATACACATCCTAATAAGATAATTAAAATCACATAATTAGATACCAAAGAATAAAAAAAATATTAAGAGCAGAGATTAACATACTAAATGATTCAAATTATATTCATAGATAATTAAAATCACATGATTAAATTTAAGAAAAAAGATAATTGATTAACTAGAGCAGCCACTCCATAGAGTGCATACCTTTGCCTGACTACCAACAAAACACAGGCTGTGTATGATGAGCGATTGCTTTTTTTTCTGCCCTGTGGCTGAATACTGAAGAATACGCAGGCCGTGTATGATAGCCGTATTCAGGCATATTATTTTCTTGAGTACTGCAGCTTACCCTCAAGAAAATAATGGAATCGCTCATCACATTCAGGGACATGTCTGAATATGAGTGGCAATTCCATTATTTTATTTCTTTTATGTTTGAGGGTAAAAAATTGATTTTTCCATGACTCTGACCTTGACCTTTGAGATTTTCTTCCAAAAATTAAATTATGTCATTCTTCCATAATTATGTATCATTCCACTAAATTTAAGATGATCCATTTATTATTTTTTGCATATTTTTGCTAGCAGACTGACAGGGGTGAAAAATAACCTCCCTTGGCGGAAGTAATAAAAGCACTAACAGCACAAATGATCTTAAGCTTGGTTTCCATAGAATTACTCACACAGTCACCGACAGTTGTTGGTAAGGTTGAACCTGGTTCAAAGTGGCCAATTGCGTTGCAGAAGTCTTCACCGCAATCGGCCAAGTGGAACCAGATTCAACCTTCCTGACAACTGTTGGCGACTATACATAATGAACCTCTCTTGAGTGTCCATCAAACTTAACAACTGACCAACCAGAACAGTGCCAGGGAAAATGTGGGGCATAGGGAAAAAGTCCATTAAAATCACATGATTTACAATATGAGGTGACAATACAGGGAATAATAGAAGAGATTAGGACCACAAATTAACTTATCATCATGCCTTAATCTTTTTTTTATTGAATATATAAAAACATTTCTACCACATTTTTTAAACAAAAATACTTCAATATTTCAGTTTTTTCATTTAATGTTGTGAATATTGTCAATAATTTATTAAATAATAATCATATTAAGTAAATTCTTTTATTAAAGTATGTATGTATATTATGCATAGAATTATAGAAATGTATATTTAGAAACCCTCACTTAATTTGTATTTATGTTTTATTAAGTTAAATGGGTCGAAGGCCTACTTTAAATAAAAGACTTTGGGCACAGAAAGATAGCAAGTATAAAAATATTACAATATTTTTATACTTATAATCTTTCTGTATAATAAGTATATAAATATTACCATATTAATTTTAGAATACTTATTATAACAAAATTAAAAGTTATCAAAAACATATCAATGTTCAAATCATATCCTGCCATTATCTCATCATAAACATATTTGATTAATAAGAGATAATAAAGATTAATATAAGAGATAAAGAGCATGGTTTAACAGACTAAATGATTCATTATCATATTTCAATCTTTGTTAATTGTAATACTGTACTACTACAATTAACGTTATAATATTTCAAATGGTTCAAGAAATACACAGGATTATCATACAACAGTATTACAGGTCTCCATCCAAATAAAGACCACTTTTAGAGTTCCCATGGTTTTTAACAGCTTTGGTCTCTAATTAGAATAATAAAGATAAAAGACATTTGTTAATAGACCACAGAAAAGTGGTCTTTAATTAGAGGGGGTCTTTACTTGGAGGGAGACACTATAATTATATATTAGATTATATTAAGAATCACTCACCAAACATGTAGTTGTGTAACCAGAAACCAAGAAAACAATGTGTCTGACATTCTACATGCTAAAGAAACACATTTAATATAAATTAATTTTTTTTTTTTAATTTGTGAGGTGTCATGACAAAATTAGTCTCACCGGGTCAATTTGAGATATTCAAGAAAAGAAAAGAAAATATTTTGACAGAAATTGGGTTCCAATGTTTCAGAAAACTGTTTATATGTATTTCACAATTAGAAAAGTTCTGAGTAGATTGACATGTAGTTAAAAGTGTTTTTGAGGCACATTTTGTACAGCCCTTGTTTAGACCAAGTACAGTATGTTTTCAGACTTCTACATTTTAAAAAGATTTTACTCTAGTTTTACTCAAGCTAGGAACCTGATTGAAGGACCAAAATAAAGTCTATAGTCATCCATCTTAAATATATCAACAGCTCATTCTTCATTTTTTTAAACAAGAAGACTCATTTTGTCATGAAAACTCACATATGTTGTACACACTGACTGACACACTGAAGAAAACTAAAAATATAACAAATAACTATAATATTCATTAATAATCAACAATTTAATAATATCACTAATAATCATAATAATAATACACTGGCAGAAAATCCCGACTCTTTTCCGAAGAGTGTACTGCGTACTATAACGTGTACATGGGTCATAATGCACACAGGACCAACAGCTTAAATGTCTCATCTGAAAGATGGTGCACAATCGTAACTTGCATTTCAGCCCTCCAGCTGAAATACAAGAAGAGCAGCAATGGGGATTGAACTGGGGACCAAGAGATCTCCATGGTTCAGCGCACACACAGTGGTTACCACCAGTTTTGCCAACTAAGCTAGGCTGCTAACAGGTAGTAATGGAAATGGATAATGGTAAATAATAATATTGTACAATATAATATTATTATAATAATATTACTAAATTATATTTACTATTGTATAACAAAAAGTATACAATTATGGAAAAAAACAATTATCATAGACAATAATCTTGTAATAGCTGCTTAAAAAATAGGATGTTTTTATCACAATGTTGTTAATAAAAAACCCATGCAATCTATCCAATGGTCAAAGGCTAATAGCAGGATCAATTGCTAGGATATTGCCATCAAATATAACATGTGGTTACTTTATAGATGGTCTACACCCCCTAAATTACAACCACCATATGAATGCTCGCATTTATTAATATGAAGAAATTTCTTAATGTACGTACCTCTGAAGAACTTAAGAAAATCAACACCATCTACACAAGAAGAGTACATATTCAGTCCAGCAACCCTCATTCTCTGAAATTTTTGGTAATTAATAGTAAAATTATTTTTAATAACTATGCATTTAGAGGGAAACTGAGGAGGAACACATAAATAAAATAAGGCCCAAGCACAACTGACCCAATATTGTGTTTTTAACACATCTCCCACAATTTATAATATTTGTACATTTATACTACTTTATTATGAATTGTCCTACAAGAGTCCGTCCTGATGGGTAGGCCTACACAGTCTGCCTCAAAATACAATTAAATGTGTTAAAAATGCTTATAAACCGGAATCTCCTGGAAGTCAGTTCTTCCAACTTGGGACCTTTCATGTAAGTGATTAGTAATATTTTATTTTTACATAAAAGATGAATACCTACAAAGCGATTGAATCTCAACTTGTAAAAAAAATTGAACCGTTCCTTTAACCTTAATAAAAAAGTCGGTTCAGACTGTATAACCATCTCTGCAGTCCTTCTCACCAGGGCCTATCAATAAAAAAAAATACAGAAAACAATTCATTCTACAGTTTCTAGGCTTGGTTAAGTAAAATACAGAAAACAATCATACATTCTACAGTTTCTAGGCTCGGTAAATAAAATCATCAGCATCATCAATGGTGTCTTTCGTCTTGCGACAAAAAGCTCTCCACTATTTCGAGCCATTTGCTTCTGTCATGGGCAGGATGGTTTTGTGATTTTTCCATTGTGTGTTTGGTAAATAAAATATAAAAAGAAATGATACTTTCTAAGTTTCAAGACTTGAACAAGACCTTTTTATACTTGGTGCAAAACTTTAATTTTGAAAGATATTTAGAGGCCTAAAAATATTTGTTTTGACATAATCAGGGGCAGATTTAGTGGGGGGGGGGGCGGCCCGGCCCCCCCCCTTTTTGAGAGGTTAAAAAAAAGGGGGAAAAAAAAAAAAAAAAGAAAAAACGATAGCCCAGAACGCCCGAAATGTTATTTTCAGGAGTCTAAAACACAGAAATTTCGCAGGGGAATGCCCCCGGACCTCCTATTTTAGTGTTGCCTCGATCGGAACAAATTTCGCCCCCCCCCCCCTTTTAGACATCTCTGGATCTGCCCCTGATATTAGCAAAATTCTATTGAAGGCGTGTGAGGTGAAAAAAGGTAATTTGCCCTGAGGCTCTGTTTGAGATACAATTGCATAGCATTAAAAAAGAAAGCGATATTATGTAAACAGTTCAATAATCAAATTGATAAATGATTTATGTTTATTAAATTGAGAAGATGATTAATTTTATTAGAAGATGATACAATAAAAAAAAAATTATTTAAAAGAAATTGTCAATTTTTGCAGCTCCATTTGCTAACAAATAGAAACAATAATAAAAAAAAATGAAATCATTGTTAAGTTATTGGCAGGTATGCAAAACAAGGTGTAGGATTCCTGCAGATGCTGATGGTTTTATTAGGTTCATGCACTTCAAACACTGAGAAACATTTCTGTAAACATTACTGCACGAATTTACACTGGATAAGTTCTGAAAATACAACAAAATAATGGTTCGCACTGAAGTGCTAGTATTTGAATTGAGAGCTAACCATTAGCACCAGCATAAGAATGCCAGGCTGGATTAGTGCTAACAGTTACCAGGATCTGGATGATAAATGTATGGTTATTGAGCACCTACACTGTACAGTACCTGTAAGCCAAAGGCTTGCTCAGGAAACATATCCTCCATAAAACCTGACCTAGAAATCTGTCTGCACACTTCGAAAAATAAGGGCTGATTTCTGCGCATATTTCACCAAAAATTAGGCTTGAACAAATCTTAGTAATATATAATAACCAATGCAATTACAATTCCGCGCATCTATTCTCCCAGCAATTTTTCGTGCATATTTGAGCTGATTTCTTAGATATCCTTTCCGCGCAATTAAAAAAACTTTACAGTATGGTTGAGTGCTATCGGTTAGCAAGTTGAGCGTTTTCAACATTATGCAATTACACATGTCCTACGCATTTCCAATTAACAGTTTCTTTTTGGCAAGTGATCCCATCTTCTTGATATCTAGGCCTTTAACAATCATGCAGACCTGTAAACCCGTACGCAATCGTTATAAGTTATGCATTCCAATTAAAAACTTGCGCTTATCCTAAAATTTGAGTAAATTTTGTTTCTTTTTCAATTTGTAATGAATTTTCATAAGAAGGGAAGATGTCTTTTGTTATCTTAAACTACTTTCAATAACCATTGTATCCGAGATCATAAACTCACTAGGTCTAATAATATCAATTTATGCCATAAGCCATAAGCATCCTGGGCCTTCAGCGGCCCTGGCCCCCAGCGGCCCCTGGCCCCCAGCGACTGTAGATGCCTTCGGCACTCATTATGTGTCACCTGATCTTACTCTTTGAAATTTCTCAAGGTTGACAGGTATGATTATATAAAATAAATAGGGGGTTTAAATATGGAATGAAAATATGGCTTAATTAAAAGGAAGGCTGCCATATTTTATGGTCTACTAAATATCTAGCGCTACTACTAGCCGTAGCCTAAGCCATACGTGGCCGGCAAGAAGCTAGACATGTCATAGTCTCATAGAGTAGGCCTAGGGGATGCTTTGGTTAGCTAGCACCCAGGACAAAGCAAGGTCTAGTCTTCAGGCTAGCCTACTACTACTACTAGGCTAGGCCTAGCTAGAGTACTACTAGACTACTGTACTCAGCCTAGGAATTGTTTATATACTAACCTACCCTAGTATAATGTGTATCTACTGAAAATGTGCGTAACAGTTTCCTCAACATCATTTCTCTATACCCTGTTACAGTCTGGGCCTACAAAAGATTGGAGGTTTTGGCATACATTACTACTACTAGGCCTAGAGCTTATTGCATATGCCTAGCCTCGAGTCGAATCCGATAACGGCCTAGCGAGCAAAGACTGCGGTCGAAGCAGCTTGCCATGCCTGGCCTTTAGTGTAGATTAAAGTGCGCCATCTACAAAGATCTTTGGTACACTTAGTCTTTTTGCTTAACAATGGGCTCAGAGCTTCAAAAGAGCTTTCTTTGTTTTTGTAGGTATCTTTGATCATTAGAGTAAGAATGCTTTGATCTTTTGTTTAAATCACTGCTATGTCACCTACTAGAGGTAATGTTTTGATTGGTTAAACACTTTTGGTACCAGTGCATATAAGCTTGCTAATATGGATAATTTTTTTCATTCCTGATGATGACATAATTAATGTCGAAATATTGAATCCCAACACGATGGCGTGTATTTCAATACTTGGAGTATGTATTATACTTTCTAGTCTTTTTGTGGTACACATCTTTTACTGTACCATAGAGAAAATTCTATTTTCTCTATTACCATAGAGAAAATTCTATTTTCTCTATGACTGTACACATCAAATCTTTGGTACATCAGCTACACATGTACTGATAGTGTTTTTAAAGTTAACGTTTTAAAACATAATTATGCAAGAATCGATACACGGATGATAAAACGTTCATATTTTTATCAACATGCTTTTCATGAATATCTCTGGGGCGATAAAATCTCAAACTTTTAAAATTTGTGGGGCTAACATGATTTTTTGTTTTGTATAGATTTGCTGATGTTAGACTACATTAATTGATTATGCTCTGCGCATAGCCTAACAGGCTCGGAGCCCGAATTCCCCAACGAGGGGTCCATCTCCCCGACGAGGGGGTGAAAGCTCCATGACAAGGGCTACACCCTCCCCCAACCCCGGGGAAGCCTAGCCCTTTTCCCCGGTCGAAGAAAAATTGTGTTGATTATTTCATTCTAGTATTTAAAAAAGATAATTTGATAGAAAACCACTGCAAGTTAAAAGGCCCCTGTGGGGTGTGCTAACCGCCTGTCAGAGGTATCCCCTGTCGGGGAAGATCTTACGCTACCACCGCAACGTACCCATATGATCGCGATATACAACATACGGTAGCACTGCTCGCACTAAAAGTTTGGGTGAGGCTATAAAACGAAGACCGAAGACCCCTATTTTTTCTCTTTCATTTTGATGATAAATACACCAGGCTGTCACAAAATCAAAATTACGAAATTTTTGGGGCGTCTGTTTGTGAAAATTTCAAGGGTCTTCGTTCATTATAGACACCCTCAGGCCCGTATCCAGGGGGGGGGGTGCGTTGGGTGCGTACGCACCCCCCCCCACCCCAAATCGAAAAACGTCCACTAATTATAACCAAAAAAATGTGACCTTGTTCCCATGGGAATCATTATAAAATGAATCACATAACAGTACAGTATTAAGATTGTATGAATGTACAAATGAGTTACAATAAGAATAGAGCGCTGACTCCACACGTACACGCACATCTTTTGTACTGCCAGCAACATAACACAACACACATACACACGTTATATGCACGTTATCGTCTAGGTGTATCTTCCCCTTAAACTAAAGCCGGTATGTCAGTGTATAGCAATGAAGTCAAAATGCTAGAATGACACCCCGGTTTAGACAAGTATAATCGTTCCTAGATCTCTCAGAAATACCCTGAGACGAGTATACTCATCATGATGATCCTTTTATACAGTATACCCCGTCAGCGATTTTTTTTTCGTACGAAACATTTGCATGAAACTTCACTCGGGCCATCTCGGATTGACTCGAGTGAGTACGATAAGAGGAACAAGAGCAGACACTTCGCAATGTCTGGTTACGAATTTATACAGTAGTATTTTTCATTTGGGAAAAATTTGCTTGTTTCTCCATGTCCTCCACTGGTAATTTTTTGATAGGCCCTATCGCTGTGTTCACGGACATATAGAGATTAACATGATAAAATGCCTTCAAATTAGTCTACTAGGACGTAAGGAAGCAAATTTTCCGGGGCCTTAGGCCCCTGCACCCCGACCGGGGGCCCTTGGCGGCCCCCTGGCCCCCAGCCTGGTTGCTTGCTGTGCTCGCAAAACGCACCCCCCATTCAAAAAGCTGGATACGGGCCTGACCCTAAAAACGAAGACCGAAGACCCGAAAAACGAAGATCTCCAATTATTTCTCAATTAGGCCTATCTTATTGAAAGTATTTCAAAATCATCATAAAACAGTTTCCAAGTACCTATTTCATTATTTTATCACGATTGGCAGAAAACAAATGTGGGTCTTCGTTTTTCGGGTCTTCGGTCTTCGTTTTGTAGACACCCATATAGTGTGTCTATATAAAACGAAGACCCTTAATTTTCTCATCCATCCTATGTTGGTATCACTACCAAAATGACCGATGCTGCACATATGCGTCACTATACAGCATTCCTACTGTTTTTTTAAAACATGGAACAAGTTTATGAATGAAATGAAATATTCAAGGTTTTTGTTGGCCCCCCCCCCCCCAAATACGCATAGGCCTCCGCAAGGCCAAGCCTTACTTTCGTTTAGAGGGTATAGCAGCGCCAAGACGCACTTTGCCACCAGCCGTGGGCGTACAACATTGGTTGAGGCTTTGGAACTGGAATAAAGAGTAAATCATTAAATTGACTCAGATTCAGGCAATAATGTGCTTAAAAGACGAGTACTATATATACATCGCATGAAGTGAATTAAAAACCTTATTTTCATCACAATTGAGAGAAAAAAAAATGTGGGTCTTCGTTTTTCTGGTCTTCGGTCTTCGTTTTGTAGACACCCATATAGGGTGTCTATAAAACGAAGACCCTTAAGTATTCTTGATATTCCTCATTTATTCCGATAGCTAATGAAAAAATGAACTTGGCAACTGTTTTATGATGATTTTGAAATACTTTCAATAAGATAATTGAGAAATACGGTAATTGAGGTCTTCGTTTTGTAGACACCCATATAGGGTGTCTGTGTCTATAAAACGAAGACCCTTGAGAATTTCACAAACAGACGCCCAAAAACATTCATAATTTTGATTTTGTGACAGCCTGGTGTATTATCATCAAAATAAAAGAGAAAAAATAGGGGTCTTCGTTTTTGGGTCTTCGGTCTTCGTTTTATAGACACCTCTAAAAGTTTTTAATCCCTAAAATCTGACAGACTCAGTATGCTATTTTATCCATTTCTTTTTATCAACTGTTTATAATAATGATGATAATAGGGGCCTATTTGATACCGTAAATAATGTATTGATTATTGGTTTAATTAGCCTTTTATTGGTCATTATAAGTCGACAAAAAATTTAACTTGTTATTCATTTGTATTTTGGTCACCAGCACGGAAGTTCGCAATACGCATCAATTGTAAATAAATTTTAGGCCTATATAGTATTTTTGTGTACGTTGTCTCTTTTGTCTGCGTCGATTGATTACACGCGCCACTTAGCGGACGCGTAGCGTTTGTTACACTGTGGTAGCAGCCGGAAATACCTACATTATTTTCCTAAATAATAAACACTGTGCGATTAAACAGATAGTGAACTGCACCGGTACCAAAACTGTAATTTAGAACTTCTTGTCTATTGTATGGCCAATAACTGGGAATGATGTTAAAATTTGGAATACAGTAAGTAAACGATAACAATGGTAAGCACAACCATCTTCATAAAATTCCACCTCCACAAATGTTCGCACCTACAACCAGTGCAGTAGGTGGCTCTCCCTGGTTTTATCGTACGTCCGGTCTCGTAACCAACCATTTTGTCTATCACATCTTTTCCCACTTCAACCTATATGCGGACCATGCTCCTTTTAATGCATTATTGTTATACACCTCCTTTACAGTGGCTTATTTAGGGGATGCGCGGGAGGTGCACGCCCATTCAAAAATACTCCCCCCACCCCCACTAAAGTAATTAAAAAATCTATTTTGCGAATTAGCGATAGGCCTATTGGTACAGAAAAACTAATGCATATTAATAATAAGTGTAGAAAAAACACTTTAATGTTAGCCGTTTTCCTATTCAAAGTCATATGGTGTTTGCATTGATTGTAAACATATAGATGATAATAAAGATTAAAATATCTAGTTTTATAATCCGATCACCCCAGATTGTCAAATGAAACCATTTAAATTAGTCAATTTTGTGAAAAAGGGGGTCCAGTTTTGACTCAACTGTGTTAGGTGTGCAGTAAACCGTTCAGTGAGTAGATGACGGTAAGTTTTCATTATGCATTTGCAAGGTTCATTAAATAACTTGATTCCTTGGTATCATTTTTCATTGTATTTGTTACTCTGGCCCGAATAATCCACACAGGCCTGTAACAAAAATAAAAGTCCCAACATTTTTGCAATGTTTACAATTAATGTCGCCGAGACGCACAGTAGGAAAACTTTATTCGCAAAACCTAGTAAGCCTATTGTCTACTTGGCCAATAGTCTGACGAAACGTGTGTCAACAAACTGTCTGTTGGAAAATAACATCACATCACAACGTTTTTACAATGTGACGTCACGTACTTTACACAGTGTATTTATGAATGACATGTACACAATTATAGCAAAATGTGATGTATTGTAACAAACACAAATTATACGTGTTAAACTCTATTAAGTGCATCTAGTATCTGTAAAGTTTACACTATCTTGCGCATGGCTCAGAAATGATTAGATTCATCATATAATTGACTAGCCCCATAGTGCACACATTTAAAGCAAACTCAATACTGTTCATATGCCTTACTTTTTACAATAAAATATTTTACCAACGTTGTTTTCTTTATTCATTCAACGGTAGAAGAACAAAATTATTGTTAAATAAATGTTGATATCCCGGTAATGTTGCACGCAATAATACACGACGTCAGAAATATTCGGCGTATATATTCTAACAGTACCTTTTGATTGTGTTTGATTAGCGGCGATGACAATGGGGTTTTCTCATGAACGTAGGCCTAAAAGCCTAGGACAAATCAATGGAGGCCTAATTATAGACTTCTGCAAGAAACATGACTGTTCAATCTTAAACACCTGGTTTAAACACAATCTGTCACAATCTGTCCATAAGATAGTCTTTCAACACTATGGATTAGACAGTTTGTACTAGATACTAGGGTAAGAAATTCGTTCTGATCATATGCTTTTAGTGACCAAGTTCCAAACACCTGCACGCAGGCTGATTACGAAACATAAGCGAACACCAAAGACAGATCTAAGTGACTTGAAAGATCCTAAAACTCATGAAATTGTAATTAAAACAATTAAAGCATCGACAGAATGTACAACATAATCCCACAATATTAACATTGAGCATAATTGTATTATAGCTAAATACTAAATGATGCTAAGAAGGCTACCAAAATAAAAACGGACAAAACATTTATTTCCACAAGAAAGAATATACCCTGAATTGAAAGCTATTTGATCAAAGGAAGCAACTAAGAAAGAAACTTCAATCGGTTGAAAACAAAAATAAACTTAAACATGTTAGTAAAAAAATAAGATACGAAATTAGGAAGTTAAATAATCAACTGCTTAAAGAACAAGCAAAGAACTAAATGATTTCAAACAACATAGAGAAATGGTTAAAATGTGGCGAAAAGCAAAGCAGCATGGTAAACTTTTCATTCAAAACCCATACCGGTATGTACTGGGCTTAGAGATTCAACCCAGATTAATCACATCTAAATTTGCCAACTGGAATTATAACCCATCAGCCTGCATTATCGAGCTTCAGATTTTTTTACCAATCATACACAACCCCACACCTTCCATTGAAGAATTTACTGATGCCGTCATGTGCATAAGAAATGGAAAAGTATCTATCGATGCAGAGTCCGATGTACTAAAAGTTGCCATAAGAAACCCAACTTTTTAAAGTATATACATGCCTGAATATTTCAAAATGATATGGCGGGAAAAAACAGTACCCCTACAATGAAAAATACCTAAAAAGTGATTAAATTCCGTTGCATGTTCCTCAAGATTTTTTCATGGTGACTCTGGTTTGCGTGCCAGTTATGTTTTACCTGTTGGGCCATGTGGCCGTGTATTCAATTTTTGAATAGTGTGCCTAAATACAAATACAAATACAATGGGATATTAGTAGAATATTGTATATAAATACTGTATTTATTATTATTATTATTATTATTATTATTATTATTATTATTGCTATTGTCTATATTATTACTATTATAATAATAATGTACTGCCATATTTTCTTGTTGCAGTTGTCAATGTTACTATAATCATGGTATTTTTTTCTCTTTATAACTGTTGTTGGTTGCTATTTCTATTTTAGGCCTATGTCTTGTTGTTATTACCATTATGCATTTGCCAATAAAGGCTTTTATGATCCTCCATTCTTAATTCAACCCGGTCCGATCATATCCCTGGCTGATCATGAGTCTAAATATGAGTCGCGACAAGTATGTCACAGTATAAAATCCTACTGGGTTTGAATTTAATAGAACATTATATTTTTAGGCTATTCACAATTAAATATGTGACGTCATATGTTACATTGACCTGCGGTAAGGGGAAATTGTAACAACGGTAAGGGGCAATTGTAACACACTAACAATTACACATCATACATCTTCTTTTTAACAAATTGAATGCATATGTTGATTAAAACTTTATTTAACATGCAAATTTATATTTATACAATGTTTGTCACACGAGAGATTAATATAAACATATTTTTTTTATGTATCTATTATATTGTATTATAGTATAAGTTTGTAATATCACCTCAGAAACGATAATTGTAAATTCAACAATGCCTTGTGTATTCATTATAGGTCTACATTATTACAAATTTTAATTAGGTCCCAATCATATCAAATCTTTTATACTGTATCATATTCATAAGCTAAAGTAAGTCCACTAAAATTTGTCCATGCACTAGGCTTTATGTATTGAAATACAAATCAACTGATTTTGATCCACTGTATGATGTCTATTCAGATTCACAGTTTTGACATACAAAGAAAGATTCTAATGATGTGCACTCCTCATGGGCCCATGCTCTAGCTTGAACAACTCCTTTCCACGGTCTGTAGACCGCTGCCTGTGGCGAACCATTCTGAAATTAATTAAAATATTGTTTTTTAACACATAAAATTCTCGAGGGGCAATTGTAACACTCTGTTACATTTGCCCCCGACCTAGCCAGGTATCATTATCGGCCTTTTGGATATTGTTCGCAAGTTACCAGCATTAAAACATTCACCACAATACAAGCCTAAATCGTAAATGTACACTGTTTTCATCATGTAAAGTACCTCCCGGTAGCTCAAGTTCCTATACCAATCTAAAATATCCAATAACCACAAAAGTTTACTTACCTGGTCAAAAAATCGGTTTTTTTTGGCTGTAAAATCTCTTCCTTTTATTATTAGCTAGCGATACTCGGATAACATGTGGAAACATGATAAACGCATGCGCAGTGCTAAACTTGAATTGCTGGCGTACTCCTACCAGCGATGAAATCATTTGTTACATTTGCCCCGTGTTACAATTGACCCCGGTCTTCCCTACGGTACCTTTGTTTATAGGCATTATATTTCCAGTTTTGACTCATGTTAGGTGTGCAGTAAACCGTTCAGTGAGCAGATGAAGGTAAGTTTTCATTATGCATTTGAAAGGTTCATTAAATAGCTTGATTCCTTGGTATCATATTTTCATTGTATTTATTACTCTGGCCTGAATAATCCACACAGACCTGTGACAAAAATCTTTAAAAAGTCCCAACATTTTTGCAATGTTTACAATTAATGTCGCCGAGGCGCACAGTAGGCAATACTTTATTCGCAAAACCTAATAGGCTTATTGTCTACTTGGCCAATAGTCTGACGAAACGTGTGTCAACAAACTGTCTGTTGAAAAAAAAAAATCACATCACATCGTTTTTACAATGTGACGCCACGTAGTTTACACAGTGTATTTATTGTAGAATCACGCGTACACAATTATAGCAAAATGTGATGTATTTTAACAAACGCAAATTATAAAAAAGTGCATCTAGTATCTGTAAAGTTTACTACCCTAGGAGCCAGACCAGGTTTTGTATGCACTTTGAGGTGCAGAGAATTTGACTTCAGAAATTGGTTCAGTGTGGTCCAAGAATCATTTTTGGCTTGGTAACATATTATTTCAAAATGTGGCAAAAGGTCATGGGCTATCAGGTCCTTGTATCTCCGCAACCACTGGTGGTAGAGGGTTAAATTTGGTGTCAATTTGTTCGAAACATTCATGTTTCTATTTGGTCTAATAAATGAGTTTGCTAAAAAATGACCGGAAATGCAATTTCTGACCTTTGACATATTTTATATATGATAGCCACTGAGTCGTTATTATCTCCGCAACCACTGGTGGTAGAGAGTTAAGTTTGGTGCCAATTTGTTTGGAACCTCCATGTTTCTATTTACTAATTTAAAAATGAGCGGAAATGCCGTTTCTACATATTTTAATGTCATAGCCTTAGTCCTTATATCTCCTCAAACACAATCGAACATTCATGTTTCTAATTTATCTATAATTGTATATCCTTTATTGCTGCGAAGCAGCCAATTCATATTCTTGACAGCAATTTGACCTCTGAAAGGTCATTTTATGATAAACCATGTTCCTTCATGAATAAACTTAAAACAGTCACTCCAAGTTTATCTTTGCATGAACAGTACTTTTAAAATCAATCAAGAGGCATTTTTATTTCATAAACATTTAGAGTGATTTACTTTATCATTATCATGACATGGGCGGATCCAGAAATTATTGACTTTTCCCGACGGGAGATCTGCTCCCCCTCCTAAGCTTAGACACCCTTTCCCTCAGTGACGTCGCAGATGACTAATTATGGACCAATTCTATTGTATACTGGGAGTCGCAAAGCGAATTATGATTATGGCACCTCTAGATGCTCGGAAATGGCACTCATTCTGACTTATTCATATTTTATCTCCATTAAAAAAAAAATTGACGAATGTAGGGGGTCCTGGTCGGTTGGGCACCCCATCCCGTTTTAGCTCTCGTCTTTTGGCCTTTTTTAAAATCCTTGTTTGTGAAATCGTTGGAAAAAATCGGCATTGGGGATACAGCGTAACGTGCTGTTCGCGGTTAATCAATAGAAAATTCAAAATTTGTGAGTAGTAAAATAATCGAGTTTTTCTTTCCTTAATAATATATCGATGTACTAAAAGTTGCCATAAGAAACCCAACTTTTTGAAGTAGGCCTATATACATGCCTGAATATTTCACAATGATATGGCGGGAAAAAACAGTACCCCTACAATGGGGTATTAGTAGAATATTGTATATAAATACTGTATTTATTATTATTATTATTATTATTATTATTATTATTATTATTATTATTATTATTATTATTATTATTATTATTGCTATTGTCTATATTATTACTATTATAATAATGTACTGCCATTTTTTCTTGTTGGAGTTGTCAATGTTACTATAGGCCTAATCATGGTATTTTTTTCCTCTTTATAATTGTTGCTGTTTGTTATTTCTATATTCGGCCTATGTCTTATTGTTGTTACCGTGATGCATTTGCAAATACAGTAAAGGTTTTTGTGATCCTTCATTCTTTTGTTAAAGGTCACGTGGCTGATCAGACGCAAATGGTGGTTTGGGGTTGGCCATAACGTTAAACAAATTATTTTCCACCTTATTTCACAGAAAACTGTCCCCTAATAGGAGTGTCCTGTGAATGAGGAGTGTCCCAAAGCGTAGGAGTTCTATACAACTGTATTAACTAGGCCTACATCCTCCCATTAGACCTAAGGGGACACTTTTTTGATCGATTTTGGGTTTTTCCATCCTCGCAACTGGAAAAACCCACATCACCAATCAGGAAGTACTTTAATTGTATATTAACATTTCTAGAATTGATGTACAATATAGCACTTTTGTTATTTAAATTGATTCTTTCCACTTCAGGTACCATATACAACAATAAAGGACTGATGTATAATAAGACGAAGCGAGTAAAGGGAGTAATTTATCATCGACTTATGGTGAGAGATGTAACAATGTTGTCGCTAGCTGTAGCTGTATTGCTCTTGGCTGCCCATCCTGTTGACTCTACCCCTAGCGCAGGACGGTAGGTCTAAATACTATTGTTTTATAGTAATCAAATAAGTAGTATCATCTCTGTCAAAAATTACGATCATTTTTTTTTTTGGTCAGCTGTATCTCTCAGCAAAGGTCTGTAAGAACTCAATATTTACTGTGTTGTTCAATTTCAATTAATGTTTTATTCGCGCACATTATTTTCGTTGCTTACGAAATACAGTAGAGAATTACCCCTGTATTCCTAAAAAAGAAATTTAGTCGTAGTTCGAGCTAAAACTTCAAAATTACGTCATTTCGTATTGCTGTATTCTTAAATCGGACTTCGACTAGCTACTACTAAATCAAACGCACCTCGACTAAAATGATACTTTCGCAGGCCGATATATGAACTTATAAATCGCCGACTCAGATTTACCCCGCTAAAAGCGTACCGTACTTTTTGTAACTCACGATAGAGTGAAAAGAATAAAAACGATTGTGCGTGGGTCTCATATATCTTCAGTGGCGTGACTCCGGTCATAGGCGCCGCCCGAGGAAATGTGGGGTCCCCTTGTATATTAGCAAAGTATCGTCAGCAAAGTATTGCTCAAGAAGTGATCGGGGTGGGTAATCTCCCTAGAGATTTAATTGTTAAGGCTGAAAAAATGTATTTAAGTAGGCCTATTAGATAATGTCAATACATATTTGAACAATGTAGGCAATAAACAAGTATTTTGCACACACATTCAAATTTGAATATTTGCGTGCAACGTAGGTATAAATCATCATTTGCATTTTGTTAGCAGTTACTGCTTACAATAATGTATTGATCTAAGTTCAAATGAAGCATTGCCAATGGCAATATAAGCCCAATATTAAACAATCATTCAGTCAATCGTCATTAGGGTCGGATCCAATGAGCACGCCCCAACCCTCGAGAAAAAAAAATAAAAAAGAGAAGAAAAGAACGCAAAGAAAGAGGGGAGCAAAGTACCGTAGGCCTACACTTATTTTTTATTTCAGTCATATGTCAAGTATCTAATGTTCTCAAGCATTTCTAAACAAGAATTTTGATTTTATCGATTTTAACATGTTTTGCATAACATATTTAATAACAGGCTCACCATGATTGGTAATCATGTAACGTAATTCTTTATGTATTGATGTTTTAGGAGACGGATTGTAGGGTGGGGGAGATGCAGCCGGCCGAGCCACTACATACATTTTTTTTAAATTAAAAGAAAATGTACCGTATTGCCAAAAGCGTCGTGTTAGAGTACTGGGTGGTAGTTGTAAGAGGGGCCCCGTGGCCTCTACGGGACTTAGAGGCGTTACTGGTCGAAGCTCCATAGTAAAATGCTAGCTCATGTATAGGAAGGGCCCTGGGCAACACTATTTTTTTGAAAATTATAGAAAAAGCATCGTATTGTCAAGGTGTTGTTGTAGAGTACGGGTCATTGTGGCCCTTTCCGGGGTCCATCAGTGGCGGATCCAGGGGGGGGGGGGGGTTCAAGCGGTCCGGACGAACCCCCCTCTGTGAAAAAACTACAAAATACAGCTGGTCCTGGCTTTCACATGGCATGCTAACCTACCAATTAGGCATACTCATGTAGCAGATCGAAAAAATTAGGCTTAGCCCAACTAGCTTTCAATTAAATAAATATTAAAAACACTATTTATACGAAAGTACGTTCTTCAGGCGTATCGGTTCATTAATCCATGGAAGAAAGACTACGTATCCAACAAGGCTTGCTCAATATTGTTTGAATAAAATAATATATTGCCTATGTATGTTTTTTTTTCTCTTTGTATGTAGGCCTAAGAATGAGGTAAAAATCACCTGACCTTTTTTAAGAGAGGGAAAACCTCGAATTTTGAAGAAATTTAAGGTCGGGAAAGCTCATTTCCAGCCATCTAGGAATCAAAATTTTCCCGGACCCCCCTTTCATTTTCTTTTTTTTGGAACATTTTTAACTCCCTCTTTGAAATCATGGATCCGCCCCTGTCCATGGTATGGATTCAGACTGTGCAACAGGAAGGGGTCCATAGCTTTGTATTGGCCCGCTTAAAACTTTCTCTTCTGTATTGTATTTGTTAATACACCATGGGTCTGAAATCGATTTTCAAAACATAATTCACTTGCACCGTTAATTTGAAATTATATATACTATATAGCAAAACGTTTTCTAACAAAAATTAGGCCTACCATTTTCTCAAATGGTTAGGGCGGAAACTGTAACATTGGGGACCAAATGGGACAACATTTCCTTATGTTAAAATGATCGATTCATATTTAATTAATTTTAATTATCTACTTTTTTAATTCAGTGAAAATGTTTGCAGCAGGCAGGTCTCGATAGTGACGTCACGGCAAGTTTCTTACTCGGTATCTTCTCGAACTACGGGAAAAACGAATTGTGGATTTTGGGGTTGGAGTCGTTGTACTACGTACAGGTAGCAAC